TCCAGAATGATTGGCACGTCCACCGGTGATGGTTCATTTGTCTCACTCCCAATGATATTCACCAAGTACCCTTGGCAACTCTCTTCTACAGGCTCTTCACTGCCCTCATCGTGGAAATCACCCTCAGCACGGTCCTCGTCCTCGCCCCGTAGAATGTGATCTTCTCGTCCCCCTCCAAGTAAAGTGTCACCTCACGATCGTGGCACTGGATATCTACTCAATACTTCAAGTCCTTCATATAGATCACGTCGAAGCCCTTCATATAGATCACGTAGGCGCTGGCCTTCAAGTCCTTCCCTCCGATGCTAATGTTCAAATCTTCACAAGGGAGTCAGTAACTATCTTTTTTCCCGAGGCTAAGCTAACCATGAGAACTGCGACAGTACTAATGCTCTTGATTCTGGAGACTCTCTTGGCATCAAACAGTAAAGTGTTCGAGATACTTGCTTTTGTTCCTTGCACCAAGTCGATTGTGGGTTCCACCACACTTCCGTTGGACCTTCTGCCAAGTATTGCAGACGTGTTCACCAATAATCCTTGGCGATTTCTCTTTCTTAAATTTTTCCTTTTCGTCGAGATAACTTGCGAATGATTCTTGTTTCCTCGCTTAACACACTATCTTCTTAACTTTTCTTCTTCTGACCAGTAAAAGTCACCTCAAACATGTTTGTCACGACCCAGCTTTAAGCCTTCATGGTCTACAAGGACTTGTGGCTTTTATACACTAAAAAGTCGTTACTATACATATACTGGCTTGGAGGCACTTGCCGAACTAAACTGAGGTAACCTCTAGAGTGAAACCTTAACTCAAACTTCAACTAGAGTTCAAAACTCCGAACTTGACTAGAGTTCATAGTCCTTGAAATCGAGGGTAAATCCTAGGCCCTATTCTAAAGTCAACCTTGTAATCCGAACATGCTGAAACTTTTCTAAAGTCATGCATGAAATCACATCATGCTGAAACTGAACTATCACATAGTACTTACCTCAGCGTTGGCGCGGCACGAAGGAGACGAGTGGTCAAACTTAAAACTTTTGGAAAATTTTTCAAAAATTTTGTAACTTTGAAATTTTTTTGCATGTCTACAGAACCATAAACCTGCTCTGATACCATGTTGTAGCGCCGCTTACTTATCTTTAGAAAAACACTAATTTTTCCTAAATAATTTGAACTTTTAAAAAATATTTTCATAAAAAAAAAAAAAATCCTCTGGCACTACTAAAAAATCTCTTTCGTTTCAAACATTCGAGACATAATGGAAACATCCGAAACATTCAAAGTCTCAACATAAAAACATAGTTTCAAAATATGAAATACTCAAATCCACAATGAGTTTCAAAACAAGTTTGCAGAAACATAAATGTAACAAAGTAATGACCACGCTCGTCCTCTCATGTTTGCCGTCAGCTGCTTAACTTGAAAAACAATGAGATGAGCAAACCATCTATGCTCACTGGTAAAAGAATACTATGCATCGATTCAGTATAAGCACAGATAGCATAATAATCATATGAACATGAACATCACTGTCACATAAACTATCACCGGCTTCAAGCCCCTAGGTAAACTCGGATTAGTGACTCTTATTTCAAGCCTCGATAATCTACCCAGTTATTGACTATTATACACCGTTAACCCAAGTTCATAAACTGATGGACTCGTGACTGGTTACTACACCTGCTAGTAAGTATACTCGGCATCAATCGGTCCAGCTAACATGTTCGACATCAACCGCTCGCTAGTAAGTATACTCGGCATCAATCGGTCCAGCTAACATGTTCGACATCAACCGCTCGCTAGTAAGTATACTCGGCATCAATCGGTCCAGCTAACATGTTCGACATCAACCGCTTCTACTAGTGCCTTCGACATCAACCGATCCCGCTAGTAGAAAAAACTGATAACTCAGCCCACCAGCCCACATTCACACATATATTAAAACTATACTACCACATGTTTATATTGAATAAACTCTAGTGTAGAATCTCTACTTGATAACTGGAGATGGTGATGAAAATGTAGATGTCTCACACAGCTCGAGGGCTCAACTCCTCAAAATCTACATTTTTTAGAACAAAGCTTTTATAAATAACTCAACTCACTTTTCTTGGTATTCACTGAATTACAGCTTAACCAATAATTATTGATTAAGAATTTTTTAATAAATTAGTGAAATTTAGAACTCTTGGCTAAGGGTACAATAAAGCTCAATAAAAGGTTCTCGAAGCTAAAATTGAGGTTCAGCTCGAAACTGGGTTCAACAGTTTAAAAGTGGCCCAGTGGCACGTGGCTCGGTGCAGGCTAGGTCCGGTTGGCTGGGCGCGGCTCGGGTCTGATCGCTGCTGGCTTGGAGTGGCTGGGCGTTGGCTCAACCTGACTGTTGCGGTCGCCTGGGCGCGGAGGGTGCAGGTCGCCCGCGGCGCTCCTTTGCTCGATACAGATCGGCACCCCCCATTGCGGTTGGCCCGTGCGCGCCTGCTCGCGGAACAGGATGTGTGGTTGCTGAGGCCTAGGGATGCGTGCGCTGACACGAGGAATCGCGCAGACACAGCGCGGCTGGGACATGTCACTGGTCTACGCGCTGCGAGAAGCTGCGCACATGCTTGCGTTGTTGGACGCTGGGCGCTGGGACGCGCGCGTGTGCTTGCGCAGAGACTTGTTATGGGTCTGGGCTCTCGAGGCGACCTAGGTCGACTGCAGCATTTTGAGGACGCCCAGTGCCTGCGGTAAACCCGCTGCGACTCGACGTCTGCGATGCGGCACACTGTGACGCGGCACCGGCGCACGCCATGCTGGCGACCCGCTCGTCAGTGGACGCAGCATGCCTGCGCGCAACGCCTGCAACTTGCCATGCTGCAGTCACACACGAGGTCGGACTCATGGCACTAGCCTATGTCCTCGTGGTGCTGTGTGGCCCAAGGGTCTGTCTCGAGGCTGCGACCCGAGGTGTTTTGGGTTCGGGCAAAACATCAAAACTCACCAACAAAACAAGGTTTCAAACTCTTGGTTTTCCCACAAAATTACAACACTCTCATGATATAAAAATTTAGGCAAAGGCTTAAGGCAATAAAAAGGGTTCTACTTCCAAAATTTTTCACACGACCTCAAGGCTTCAAGGGTCAAATAAACATGGCATAGGAGAGTTCCAAATTCATAATTTTTCACATAAAACTAACTCAACTTCAAGGATCCAATATTTTCGCAATAAACATAAAAAGATCCTCAAAATTCGAATTAGATCTAAGCCAATTCTAGGAAAGAATTAACAACATGGTAGAAGATTATCTTCTTCTTGGTTTCAAGAGGAATGAAAATGATCCAATGAGGGCTCGGATAATCGCTCCAAGCCTCGGCTCAATCTGCTCACACTCACGGTAATGGTCTCAGAGGTTCTCGGCCTCGACTACTCGTACTCGCGGACTGGCTCGCGCAGGTGCTCTTTGATTCCCACGATTCACCGCGGACAAAGGTCCGACTCGACCCTCGGTTCCTCCTTGGCATGGCGCGGCAGCGGCTCCTGGATCTCCTCGGTTGCGCGTGCTCGTGCGCTTGCGGGGCTCTCGGCGAGTCGGCTTGCGGTGGCGTTGCTTCTCGGCGTGCTCGGGGACGGTGATCCTCGGTAGTGCTGCTGCGTTGCTCTCAAGTCTCCTCGGTGAGGCGCGGTCGTTGCTGTGGCCTCTCGGCGTGACCTCGGTGTGGCGCCCGTGGATCCTTGGTTGCGTGCGTGCTCTCGACAAGGCGGCTCGCGGCTGCTCGGATGGTCGCCGGAAAATGGACGCGTGGGGAAGAATTGGCCGAAGGAGAAAAATTTAAAACTTGGAGATTTTTTGCTTGACATTTATGACTCTTCTCTCGAGTCTTAGATCTCGGATTATAGGGAGAAGAGGGAGAGTTTTCTTGTGACCGATCAAGAGAGGAATAAAGAGAAAATATGTGTGATACAAATACCATAATTGGATAGCATGATTGGCATAAAATGAGGAGTGAGGCCGTGACATGGTGGGAGGAAATCAAATGATTCACTTACCAAAAATTGATCACAAAGGGTTTGAATTTTTTTAAATAATAATAATAATAATAATAATAATACAAATGGTGCCAAAGTTCTTAGTAAGGGGCCAAATTTTCTCTTTGAATTGGGTTGGGTTTTCTCTTTGAATTGGGCCGAATTATAAGGCTTAAAGACCGAGAAATGTTTAGTCCAAGCTTGGAAACAAATTAGAAAAATGGCTCACAGTAATGACTTGCACTAGAATTTGAAATTTGAACTATTTTTTATTAACAAAGAAATTAACAGAACTTGGAATAATTTAAGTAGATGGTCTACATAAATTATTTAATTTATTGGATTAAATAGATGAGAATATCTAAATTATCTTAAAGAACTTAATAGACTTAGTCAATCTTAACAAAAGATAAACAATGCAATTTACTCATGAATAAAATAAAATGAGTTATCTCTTATTAATTGAATGGGTACTACATTTATATGTACCTATAGTAATATCAAATTGGGCTAACCTGGCGTGAATTATCATTTTATTAATACCTTTGTGACTTTTTTCGTTGTCCAAGAACCGCATGAAGTACTTTCCCAAATTTTCTAACTTCAGTGACCTACTTTCCTTTTCTTCTGATTTGAAAATAATAATCAATATATTTCACAGTTCACACTCTCCATCAGCCTGCTGATTTAATTAGAGTAAATTAAAGCATTATAAATGATTAAATTCAATAGTCTCTACTCACGGAGTACGTTCCAATTCCCCTTAAAAAAATAACTGGCTACAAATATGATTATCTTTATTACTACTATAATCCAACCATAATACAGCCAAACACACTAAAAATTAAAACTAATACAAAACACAAACAGAATTCATTAAAACAAAAATGAACACATGTGGGATTCACTTGTCTCCATGCCAATTGCNAAAAAAAAAAAAAAAATGTCAGTTGATAAGACAAGCCAAATTTCCCAAAAACGTCATCCCTTGCGTCATTTTTCACATAATTCAATTGTTCTAAAACTGGCAGCACTCAAATCTTTGTATGGCCCGATGCCCACCACGCTCTCCTCTTCCACATATCTTTTCACCCCTCTACTTCTCAACTTATTCCAGCTTAGCCCCAAAACTACTCCTAATACCAAAACCACCCCACCCAAAAGCCCCAGCCCCATACCCAGCCACGAGTCCACCCTCCTCCTCCTTGCACCCACCCACACCTTAAAATAACCCACTTTGGTCTCATCCCCAACCGCCACTAGCGTCTGCACGGGGAAATCCAGCATGTAGCAGAACCCAGAGGAATTACTGTACACCGCGCCCCAGCACGTGCAATTCCCCTCGCACGCGCGCTCACACTTCTCGAGGGACGGCATCTTTTCGTACCCCATCAATTCCTTAAATGGCAGTTCGACCCCGGTTCTCCTCAGGACCACGAACCGGTTCACTCCCACGCCGCAGAAATCACCAGAGACCCGATCCGGTACCGGTTTGCACACTCCCGAACCGTGAATCGTCCGGTTTGACACGCACGAGCACTCCCCGCCCGATCGGCAGAGGCCGTACGCGCCGCAGGCGCTTGGCAGCTCGCAGGGCTCCAATATTGCTTGATAATCCAGGACCCAATCCGACCCGGTCCAGTAGTAAACCTTCAAGTTCCCGTCCGGTTCGAGTCTGAGCCGGCGGGTGCCGGACACGTTTTGCTGGAAAGAGTTTAACGGCTGCACGTCGACCGGGACCGACCCGTTCTGGTACATGCCTAGAAACCCGCCGGATTTGAGGATCAGCTGCGTGGGCCGGTCCGGAATAACCTCCGCCTTCGCCTCGAGCGCACCGTGCTTTAAGTATATCTGACCCGGATCCGAATCCGAGTTCGCGAAATTGGCGTACAGGGCCCAGTAATCGAGGCCCAGCCGCAAGGAATAAAGCCCGTTGGACGAGGTTAAAGCCATGGTGGTCGTGAAATTCTGGTTCTCGACGAGGGTATCGGAGGGGAAATCAAAGCTCTGCCACAGGGGGCTGTCGCCGGCGCCGGAGACGATCAGATTCGAGGCGTTTGAGAGCCAAACGCTGGCGCCGGAGGTGTGGGTTGACCAGAATACCCTCGAGTTGGGATCGGACAGGACTAGGCTGCCGTTGAACATTAGCTGGGCTGACCCGGTCCACCTCGCCGGTCTGGTCGGGTTAGCTGACCACAACTGGACAGAGGATGGGACGTGGATGATGGAGAGGCTGAGTCGGTTCGTGTCAACTCGGAGGAAACCCAGTGAGTAGTTTCCGGAGGAATCGGAGAGCAGGGGCTGGAACGACGTGACGGACGGGTCCGGGGTTGCTCTGAATCCCACGAGAAGCTCCGATCTGGGCGGCGGCTCGGCGGCGCGTGTGGCCCACGTGGGCGGGTGGAAGGAAACAAAGAAGGCGGCCAGGAGAAGGAATAGAGCCGCCGAATGGGGGTATCTGTGATTGATTTTCATTTTTGGTTGCTTTTAATATTTTGATGCGTGTTCTGTAGGGATATGTTCAGTTTGGAATTTGAAAAGTTAATACTAGTGTGTGTCTAATGTGACTGACTGCATATATTTTGGTGGCGTTTTTGTATATGGGAGTTGGGGTTAGTTACTTTTTAGGTCTCTACATAAGCTGCAATTTGCAAATGGTAGATAAGATTAAGATGGTAGATAGGCCGGCAAGAGGCTATTGACTATGAGGGAGTGAGTGAGCGTGCTGCAGGGCTGTTATCGAACCGAACCGAACTTAAGGTGTTCGAGTTCGAGTTCGATTAATTTTCGAATATGTTCGTGTTCGTTCGATTAATAAACGAACAAAAAATTTTGTTCGTGTTCGTTCGTTTATTGGTTCGATACGTTCGTGTTCGTTCGTTTATCTAGTCGAACATGTTCATGAACTGTTCGAATTGTTCGACAAGTTCGTGTTCGAATTGTTCGACATGTTTGTGTTCGTGTTTTTTAACTTTTTTTTATTTTAATGTCATACAAGTTATTTTATTTATTATTTAATATCTATTCATATTTATATGTTATATTATATATGTATATACTATATATAATATATAAAATTATAAAATATTTGTGTTTTTATTTAATATTTAATATATATTCATATTTATATATTATATTATACATGTATATACTATATATAATATATAAACTTATAAAATATTTTTTTGTTTGCAAACGCTCGATTAGTTCTCGCGAACATATGTTCGTGTTCGTTCGATAACTAAACGAGCGTAATTTTATGTTCGTGTTCGGTTTGATTGCTAAACAAATGAGCTGTTATCGAACACGAACTAACTCGAAGGAGCTTTGTTCGCGAACGTTCGGTTCGAAAAACAGCTCTAAGGGTGCAATTCTGGCCACCTCACAACATGTCAATCATTTTTTTTCAAAAGAAAATATATATACTCAATATATGAAATATCATAGCATTTTATTGGATTTTTAATATATAACATTTGGTATATTTTTATCAAAAAGTATATTTGTTATCCTGATAAGTGATTTATTATAAACTCGTTACAATATAAAATTAGATAATTGGAGGACTTCATATTTTATGACTATTTTTATTATTGTTATATTGCATGAAGAGCAATTCTGATTAGGACTTTAGGATAAAAAGGATGTTCAATTATCAAAAATTCTATGGAGCCATTCGGATGATTTTCTTATGGAGTCATCCATCACTTAATGTGTTGACACATGCCTAAATTGTATTTATTGTAGGACATGTGTAAATGTACTATTGGTGAATAAGTGTGGATGACTCCATAAGTCGAGCCATCTGATGGTTCCATAGCAAAACTGATTCAATTATTGTACCATGTATTTGCATATATACCATAGTTACAATATTAACTTAAATTTCATCGGATAAATTAATAAGTAAAAAAGGAAAAACAATTACATATGTCCTAAACTAAAAAGATAACCGCTGGTTCTCTAGCTCTAGGAATTGTCGCAATAATAGTCAAAGCCAATTGATTATCACACGCAATAATAGTCAAAGTCGATTGATTATCACTCTCCATTTATCTAGCTAAATTAAAGAATTGTCGCAATAATAGTCAAAGTCGATTGATTATAACTCTTGAGGTAGAGTTTTGCTGCCCTTGTGATCCTACCCGGCTCGATTCCAGATTAGTCGGTCTCCTAGGGGATTCGGAAACCGGAAGGTTCATTGTACAAAAAAAAAATGTCGATTGATTATCGCTCTCCATTTATCTAGCTAAATTGGAAAATATAGTTTATATATATTAGGGTAAAAGTAGGTCGGTAACAGAAGTATAATAAATAAAATAATATAATAATTGTGCATGAAAAAAAAAATCTTATCTAGAGTTTGCGGATGAATACAAAAGGAGGAACACAAATTAAGATTTCAATGTATGGTTTGTATTTAATCATTAATACATCACAAAGTAGTCAAATAATGAGATATATGCAATGTTGTCTTTTTGACTTTCCAGATTATCGGCCACCGGTCCCTATCTGCCGTAGTCATATTTGTGATAAACTGATGATAATAGTCTCAGTTGTTTTGGTGGTTATTATTTGTTACACTGTTCAATTTGACCGACATCTATATTTATTTTACTATAATCGCTTGATATTTTCTTAAATGTTAGAATTTTAAGTTTGCCTTGTTTTGTACATAGGAATACATTACTCTAGAGTTAAATAAAATTGTATTTGCTATTTTACCTTAACTTGCCTCATTATGGCTCATATAGTTACACCCAAATTCGACTTAACTTGTAAAAGATTGTCGAGTCGAGCATCACAAGCCCGAAGTAGATTCGTATACACCACTAACTATTCATAAATCAATGTCCATTCATAAAATCAAATTTTCAATAAATTTTTAAATTAAAATTTCATATAATGAAAAATAATATAAATAACAATATGGTATATTAGGTATGAATTTATTGTCGAAAAAAAATGACCTAACTAGCTCAACAAAATATTATGAAATCCCTAATAGTCACTAAAATTAAATTATTGGTAACGCGTGTTTTACGAACTTATGTTAATTAAAATACCAAATAAGAAAGACAAAGGACAATCAAAGTAAAAATTAAAATAGCAATACTCGGGGAAAAAAATGTAATAAAATAAAAGGATGTAACACTAACATGCATCAGAAAACGACGTTCTCATAGTGGTACTGGGGCTGTAATGATCGAGTAGATAAACATCTCGATATAAATCCAGTCTCCAAAACAAAATTAAATTATAACAGTATTTAAACATAGTCAAATTGAAAGGGACATAATAGCATAAAGGTCAATTTAATGTGTGACATATATAGTAGTTGCTACACTTGTCCTAACTCACCAACTAAATTTAACATCAATATTTTATATTTTTTATCATATTATAATTAACTATTACTATTTTTTGTAAAAAATCAAATTAATTTAATTAAACAAGAGATATATCCAATTTCACCCTGTCAACTAAATAATCCGCAACAGTCTAGTAAATTTTAATCTTCCTATCACATTATGCCAACATGTTTGACTTGCAAATTGTGGGGCTGACAGAGACTCCACATGCATGCTACTATTGTTAATGTTTTTTGGTATTAATTTCTACTTTTGGACCAACCAAAAGTCAATTCATCACGACTGCCGTAAGTGATGTGGGATTCCATTTTTCCGTTTATTTTATTATGTCAAATTTATATGAGATTTCATTTTATTCTTTGGTACTATTCAAGGGAACACGATTCGGCTCTCCTTTAGTTGATTCACACTTCAGAAAACGGTCAAATATTCATGCACAACTAGGTGTAAATTGAAATGTGGATATAACCCGTAGAGTGTGTTCAACAGTGTTAGAACATGGAATGTGTATAAGTTTCAATATATATTGCAACACCAGAAAACGTTGAAATAGCGGAAGCACAAAGTAAGAATTATAAACTCTTCGGGGAGTGTCCCACTGGCCCTCAAAGATCTTTCATTGATAAATCGGTTGTGTGCACTTGTATAGTTTGGACTTACAAGATTTGAACTCCCTTCTAGCCTAGCCACAACTATACGCGATTCTATCAACTAATCCTCTGGGCATCTGGCCACGTCGCGGGGACTTCACACACTCGAATCCCTCGAGCAAAAACCAGTACTTAATCCCTAAGTACTTATCACAAAAGTGTTTGAACCAGTTCTTCAATGAAATAAGAACACTAAAGACTGAAGCTGAATGCTAAAACAAAGAAAACTTGAAGTTCGAATAGTAGATGAAGAATAATAATCTCAGCAGCCTAAACCCGATCTTCAAGTAGGGTATTTATATGTTCCTTAGGCGTGGACTTCTTCTCAAGCAACCTTCATCTTTATCCAATTTCCTTTCAAGTATATAAGATGAGATATGGTAAGTATGGATCTCTTTCTTCTCTCTCAAAGATCTCCTCTCCATGCAATCGTCTATCCGCGTCCATGCATATCTCAAGTCCTACAAAAGATAATCATAATGAGATCATGCAAATCTCTCCTAACTAAACATATAATATATAATACATAAATAAAAGAATATATGCATATATATATATATATGTATATCTCGGAATATAAATATATAAGTAAAAAAACTTCCCTTTTATTCAACATGCTTGCAAGAACATATCTTCAATATATTATTTTTGAACTTATTGCCAAAAATAAATCTTTCATAAATAAACATATCCGAGCTCTCAGCTTGCTAATTTTAACGAGTCAATATAGGATAAAAATTTTAAAAGAAAAATTGTAAAAACCTTTTATTTTCGATTCTTAATCAACCAAATCGAGCTTGACTTATTAATTAAACGAGCTCGGCTTATTTATCCTTGTCATGCGTAACCGAGCTCATCGACGTCTCATATTATGTAACAACTCTAATACCAAGCTAAATCCTTGTTAAACCTATGAAATTTAGGCCATTTTATCTTGCTAGTTTGTCAAGACATCAATGGCTACGCAATCTAATGTATAAATATTTTGGAAAGTGAATTGGGTCTCAATTTGGTGCAATTTTGTTGTACTAATAACTCCTGGAAGTTATGCCCTATCCAATGGGATGGTTTAACTATCTACACAGACTCCTTCAAGATGTGGTGGTATAAAGTGTGCTCCCTTGATCATTCTGAAGTGGCCAAAGCTAGAATATAACTCACTACCTACATGCTTTGGTAGCTTTGAAAATCAAGGAACCTATGGATTTTTCAAAAAACTCCAATCCCACAACACTTCGCTGATCAAAATGGCACAATCAAACTTAATACACGTGTAACACTCCGACCGACTGAGAACCGCCTCAATCTTGCTCCTCTCGTCGATAGAACGCCGGAACCTGCACGAAACTCTCACACCGAGGGGATTTTCCGGTGAAGGGCCGAGTCCAGTTGCGCGGGCCTGTTACCCATGCTGGGGCATTAAGGCAACGAAAGGTTTTGAAAGGTGGTTTGT